AGTGTAACAGTGGCAGGAAGTTTCTCACTTTTTGTCCTGAGGAGAGGACTTAGATGACCATGTTGAAGGAGGCCCTCTCTGCTTTGGCAGTCACTTGAGGTTATCAGATTTGAACAGGCCCCAGCAGGACAACACAGGACCCTTTGAGGTCTGACAAAGGCTGCCTCTCCCAAGATGGATGGGATGCAGAGCTGGGGAGGAAGGCAACATACCTGCAGGGTACAAATGCAGGAAGGCCTAGACCCTTCCCATGGGAGATTCTAAATTATTTCACTGTCTCCTAAAGGGACCATTCCCAGTGAGCTCCACTGGGCAGTGGGAAAGAACTCCTGGGCCCCCGAGGGGAGCTCGGTGGAGTGCAGAAAGGGCCTTGAACTAACCAGGCTGACCTCTGCAGCTAAGGACTCAGAGCCCCTTTGGACTTTCCTCTTGGAGAAAATTGCCTGAGCTTGGGAGTGTGAAGGAGGGCCTAGACTTTGGAGTCACGTGTTCACGGCTGCTGGGGCTCGGAGCAATGAGGTGGCAGAAAGCTGGTCCCCAGCAGTGACTTCGGTTGAAATGAGCTAGTCCCCAGGAATTTTGAGCAGTTATATGAGGTGGGAGAAAAGGCCTCCAGGGGAGCAGTTTGGACTTCCTCTTGATAGGCTCTTGTGGGAGCCCAATTAATGGGAGAGGGGACCAAAATGTGTACCCTAAGCCGTTGGACTGAACATACCAATTCATGCAGCTCTCAAGTTCTTGGCTTCTTTGGGGCATGAGAGGGGCAGTCAAATTTATCAGCCCTCGCTACACCCAGGCCAGCTCAAGGCAACCCCGGGAATGGAAAGGAAAGTCTCCAGGCCTCTTTCCTCACTTCTGTTTCCTGGGAGTCCTTTTTGGGTACCCTTCGAGAGCTCCCCAGCCGCTCCTCATCTTCAGAATTACATCATGCCCTTCACATACGTCTGCAGCTCAGGTTATTACCTGTTCACTCTCTTAATCAAAACTTATCCAGCCAGGGCCCGGATCCCTCGGAACCTCTTTAGAGATGCTGAGCTCAGCTAATAGACCAAAGTGACATAAGGAGTTGGTGCTAAGAGCTGGTTAATCCAGCCAATAGAGCTGCACAGATATCCTGTCCCTGATGCCGCCCACATTTGACTCCGAACACACCGGTCTGCACAACAGGCTGTAGGAATGTATCACCTCGACAGCCTTTCTGCTTTGCTGTGCAAAGGTGTGATTCTATTGGCGGACTTTTAGGCAACTTGAAAGATAGTCTGGGAGAATATTTTCTTGCTGAATAGGCACTATCTCCTAAACCACGGAGAAGACAGCACTGCCTGCCCACACGTGAGGATGCTCAGATGAGGCCCAGGTTCAGGGCCAAACAGGCCCAGACTCAGTTGTGACCTTCAGTCCTACTCCCTGGGCTGAGATGCTGAATTCAGATTTCCCATCAGCCCTGAAGCAGGTTAGACCAGTCACCATGGGCATGTGCCTGGGCAGCCAAATTTGCCTGCGGTGAAATTCTGATTTATGCAAAAGGAATCTTTAGACTGCAATGTTTTCCACACCCAGCACACAAATGAAAACATTTCTTTTTGAATACATTTGGAAGGAAAAAGAGAGACAAGTAGGATAAAGGGCAAGATCAGAGAATAGCCCAGGAACCAAGGAACTGGATCCTGTCACCCATCAAACCTTCATTCAACCTGTCTACTCATCTACTCCCTGTATTTCCAAATTATTCTTGTAACTAATCAATCTTCATTTGACTAATCAATAAATGAACCAGTCTTCATTCACTAAAATATTTTGTATTTTTTGGAGCAGTTAATTTCATTTGTTCCTTCACTTTCTTTAACAATCAACCTTCATTCAACCAACAAAATACTAAGTAGCCATTCAGTCTTCATTCATTCAATCAACTATTTCAAATATCAAAGCTCAAGACTGGAGGAGTCCTCAGAGCCCATCTGGTTCAGCCAATTCAACCTCGCAGAAATATTCGCCATTGCAGTTTTGCCAAATAGTATCCCAGACTCTACTGGACATCTCTAACAATCAGAACTCGCTGTTTTCAAACACTGCCTGGATGTTGTGGGACAGCTCTGGCTGTGAGAAAATGTTTCTCAGTCCCTTTGTCACTTCATATCTGCTTTTGGTGCTGCCTTTCGGGCCACCCGGTGCGATTCAGCCCTCCCTGTCTGAGTAGCTCAGTTCATTAGGGTATCATCCCGATACACCAATGTATCGAGTTCAATCCCCAGTCAGGGCACATACAAAAATCAACCAATGAATGCATAAGTAAGTGGAACAATAAATCGATGATTTCCTCTCTTTATCTCCCAAAAAATTAATAATAAAAAAATTTTTAAGTCTTGTTCAGGGTGATGGTTTTTCCTGCAGTAGATTACAGCCTTACGGCATGAGTAAGCAAGAGAAGGCCAGAACTATTTGTACTGCAAAAAGAGAAGGGCAAGAAAATGGGGCAAGCAAGGCCCCGGAAAGGAGAGAGGCCCAAGCTCACTTCAGGGGAGAGAGAACTGCTGTGGGCAGTAGATTCCATCTAGGGCTGGAATGTAAAACCCGCTTCCATCTCTGGATAGAAACACTCAGTGCAATGACCATTTGTCAGGAGGCCTCGTGGCGAAGGTGAGAAGTGCTCCTTGGCGAGGGCGGGGAGTGGAGGCTGAGGTGGGAGGGCGACCCCCCTGACCCGCGACCTGGAAACACGCCCAGGCTGTGGGTGGCAAGTCTAATTCCCAGTCCTCACTCTAAGTAAAGAGCCGAACACACAGCACGGAACCTGCAGTGTTGCACATTTGACATTTTCTTAAGAGGCTAAATCTCATGTTAAATGTTCTGCCCACCATTAAAAGAACACAAAAGCAAGACCAAAACCAACAAAACCAAAACCAAAATCCCTTCCTTCCCGTCACTGCTGAAGCGCCAGTGTGGGCCCATGGCGCCCAGGTAGAGACGGCCTTGAGATGTCGTCTCGTCACCAGAGGGGAGTGGTGGCTCTGAGGTCAGCACTCTGGCCTGAACAAGAACGGAATTTTTAAAGTGTATTATTGAGGATCCTTTTGATAGCAAGTCATGGAAATTCATCTCTAATGTGTTAAGCAAATCAAACAAATGAAACCCAGCATTATGCTAAGTGAAATAAGCCAGCTGGTGAAAGACAAATACTATACGATCTCACCTATAAGAGGACTCTAATGAACAAAATAAACTGACGAACAGTATAGAACCACAGGCACGGAAACATGGAACGGACTGCGGCAGCCGGAGGGGAGGGAGGGGGAGGATAATGGTGGGAAGACAGGGAAAGGTCTAGTTAGAGAGCATGTACGAATGACTATGGACATGCACAACAGTGTAGGGACTGACTGTGGGGGTTGGGGGTGGGATGGGCGGAGAGGGGCAAAGGGGGAAAAATTGGGACGACTGTAATAGAATAATAATTTTAAAATCTTAACAAAACAAGCAAACAGCCCTGGATGATATGGCTCAGTGGATTGAGCGCAGGCCTATGAATCAAAGTGTCACTGGTTTGATTCCCAGTCAGGGCACATGCCTGGGTTGCATGCCAGGTCCCCAGTAGGGGGTATGTGAGAGGCAAACACACATTGATTTTTTTCTTCCTCTTTCTCACTCCCTCCCCTCCTCTCTAAAAAATAAATAAATAAAATCTTTTTTAAATTAAAAAAAAATAAGACAAACCCAAACACATGAGAGAGGAGGTCAGAATTATTGGCTCAACAAATGCGAAACTCAGGAGTAGCTCCACTAGCTTCAGGAATGGCTAGATCCAGGCGCACAAGTCAAGTCACCAGAAATTCGTCTGCATCTCACCACCCTACTTTCCTCCCTGGGGGCATCTCTCTCATATGGTGGCAGTGGGGCCCCCAAGAGCTCTGTCCTGACACCATCAGCCCTACTGGGAAGAGCTTAGCCTTCTCAACAGTTCTGAGGAAAATTCCAGGACTAAGTCTCAAGGGACTGACTGGTTTTTTCACACAACCCTGGAGCTGGGAGGGTAGGTCAGCCACACAGAAACCCCACGTACTGACAGCACAGGCAGGAAAACTTCCCAAAGGAAATCAAGGCTCTGATACCAGCACTGGGAATGGCAAAACAGCAGTCAGTGAAAAATGGAGACGTGCACCCTGTGAAGTGAGTTCAGGAGGCTGATGTCAAAAAACAAAAATGAACAAAAAAACAGACTTCCGTGGGTGACCCCAGGCTGGGAATTGTTGTTTAATTCAGCCTTGAAGGACACGTGATTTATTAAGAAATGAGTGTCTCCAGGAAGGGGTGAGGTGGACTGGGGCAGATACCCTTGGTTGATTCGGGCCCCACTCCTTCCCCTTTTAGCCTGAGCTTCGGAGACAGGATTTCCTGGAGCTGGAGCGGCTGCTGTGGAGCTGGCTACCAGACAGCATTGAAACCTCTGGTCAAGGCCAAGTGCTACCAGAAAGGAGAGATGGTGTCAGGAAGTGTAGCCCCAGGGACAAGAGAGGAGGTTCCTGAATTGTGATTAGAGCTTCCCACTGAAATATTACAGAACGGTGGTAGGAACCAGGGAGAGAAGTGGCACACAATTAAGAAGCTGTAGGCTCTAGTAGTAGGAATCAAACATGATAAAATCCCATTTGTTTATCCTTTATTCTTTCCTTTATGTCCCCTGCTGTAAGGGACATACTGGTGAAAATATTGCTGCGTGGAATACGTGAGACTTCCCTCCCCATGTTCTCCTCTAAGACTTTTATGGTGTTGTGACTTAAATTTAAGTTTTTTATACATCTTGAGTTTATTTTTGTATGTGGTATAAGTTGGTAGTTGAGTTTCTTTTTTCTTTTTTCTTTTTTTTGCATATGGCTGTCCAGATCTCCCAACACCATTTGTTGAAGAGGCTATTTTTACTCCATTTTATATGAATTCAAAGCCACAAATCAATGCCTCCATCTCTGTGCAAGAACGACCAGTGCTACCTAACAGGATGCGCGGTGATGAGGGGAGGTGCTGGGGTTCACGTGACTGAGAGGCAGCAGGAAGGAGGTAAGTGCTCCAGTCCTGCGGTGTGAGCCCTGAGCCCTGGGACAAGATGCCCTTGATCGCAGCTTGGAGAATCTAGTCCAGCTAGAACAGATAAACATGGGTGCCGCTGATTAAGTAAATCTTCCTGAGAAAAAGCAGAACTTCCCAGAGCCTGGATCCCCTGCACCGGGCATCTTCCATTTTCTGCCCGGCCCCAGGAAGCTGATCGAGGTGGACTTACGTAACAGGACTAGTTCCGTGCCTCTGGCTTCACGTTGGGTTTGGCCAATGGAGAGTCCCAGCTGGAGACCCGAGGAAGGGAGGAGAGTGAGGTCGGGGCATTTGCTCCCTTCGCTCCCTCCCTGTGGTGGCTGGCTCTGTCCTGCAAGCAAAGGTCACTGCACCACTCAGAGAGGCTGACTCCATGTGACTGTCATTCCAGGTTCCAGTAACTGCTCCCCTCCCCCACCCTTGACCATTTAGGACTAGAGGTGGAGCAGCCCTGCTGCTGCTGGCTCCAGATTACTGCACTTGAGATTCCCCTACACTTTGTAAATAGTCCTTTTATAAATAAACCACCTCCTCCCTTTTCAGCTGAGTGGGCCATCTGTTGCTGTTCGGTACCCCGAATGATACTGTCCCTGAAATTCTCCCTGTTGACCAAGGGGAAGGAGGAAGGGGGAGTAAGTGGGGCAGTGGTCAGAGAATAAGAGGGAGCAGCACGGCTTGGGCTGGAGGGGTCAGTACCCACTGGGGAAGCAGAAGGGATGCAGATACACTCAGCTCCGTGAATCTGAGTCCCTCGCAGGAGACGAGGGGCTGGGCCAGGCAGGAAGCCAGCGACTAATAGAAAGTTCTTCAGAGCCAGCCTGAAGCTCCGGCCAAAGCGCTGGGCATCCGCTCTTCTCCTGGGGAGAGTCTGGTACCCAGGAAGATTGGCACTTGCTGGCCCCAAACAGACCCTTGTACTTGCTGGTGAGATTGAAGGGCAAACTAACAAACGCCAGGGATTCTTGCATTTGAAACACCCCCACACTGATTCTCACCACGACCAGGAAAACCATCCTGCGGCTGCTGTGCCTCTGAGGAAGGCTGCAAATGCACGGATTTTTCTCCTTTACAGGGGGAGGCGGAGAGGCCATAGCTGAGGACAGAGAGATCTACCTGGTGCTGGGGGCGATCAGAGATGTGCAGACTGAGCTTGTCTCTGAGGGCAGAGGGAGGGGGAGAAAGGATTTGGGCTGAAAAATTCCACCAGCTGTCCAGGCCCCTTTTAATACTAATACTTCCACATTTCAACCAATAGTGGCTTCAAATATCCCTGTTTCTCTTCCCGTTGAAGCTAAATGTGTATGTGTGGGGGTGGGGAGAGGGGGTGGTAGCATCCTGGAGGCTCCCTCGAAGAGAATGGGGGTGCTTGCTGAAGGAAAGGGCTTCTCCCACTGGACACTCACTGAGCAGGGACTTGCAGGCTCATCCTGGTGCTGATGATGGAATAAACCACAGTGAGGGAGGACCTGGGCAGGCCTGCACCAGGTCCCCGTATGACAGGGGTGTCTGTGAACATAGAGAGTGGGCCGGAGGCCCAAGGAAGGGCCAGTGTCAGCAAGCTTGTCAGGGCCAGGGTACGGTGGGCCTGGGAGGAACATGGGACTCCCCCTCCCAGTTCCTCATACTGACCATGGCTCCATGTGAGAGGACGTGTAGGTCGCAGGTGGGGCAGGAACCACACAGCCAGCCAGCAGCCCCTGGGCCAAGCAGTGGGACCCTCAACTTGGACAGGGACTGGGGTCAGATGGACCGTGGCGACAGAGGAAAGCCAGGTGGCTCTCTCTGCAGGAACCCTTGGCTGTGAGGGCACCCAGACAGAGCTGAACTGCACCCAAATCCACACATATCTGTGGAGGCAGACAGAACCAGAGTAAGGCCAGGGACCCCCCCCCCCCTACTGCAGAGTGAGGTCGGGCTGCTGGGAGATCTCCCCACGTTTTTCTCCTCATCCTCAGCTGTTAGTGACCAGAAAAGGGAGCAGAGTGTGTCCAGGGTACCATAGTCTGTCCCCACACCATGGCCCTCTAGTGCCATTCCAGCCCGGGTGGGCGGGAGGATTGTTATAAATTAGATAGGAAATTGAAGTTTCAAACTACGGTGGTCAAAGTTTTAACAACTGAACAAGACCAGACAGTTATATTAACTGTACCCGTGATGTTTGAAAAGAGGAAACACTGACGGAGTGACTAAAGAGGGAAAACAGCCCCGGCCTGGCTTCATAGGTCTACCTCCACATGTCGAAACCCTCAACATGTGACAACCCGATGGCCACTGGCCTCTTCTCTCCTCACAGGGGAGAGAGAGGTCGGTGAACCAGAATGCCTGCAAAAGTCCTGGGGTGCACTCTGATTGGACCATCTTGGGTGACTCAGCCTCTTCTGAACCCTATCACTGTGGCCAAGGGATGCAAAGCGCCGATTGGTCAAGGTCACATCTCCGCCCCTGGAGTTGGTGTCGGGGAACCACAGGATTCCCCACAGGGATGTGGGAACTGCAATGGAAGGGGGAAGAGAGAGTGAGTTTGGGGGAATATTGCTTTGGGGATTTTCCCTATTCACTCCTCTAAGACCATAAAGTTTCTGCCCAGGAGAGAAGTAGGTCTAAAACGAAAATTTCAGGTGTTTTATACTTCCCAGAATGATAGGCATTGGCGTACTTAGAGACAAGGTTCAACGGTGAGTGGGAGAGGCCAGACAGAATGGAGTATCCCTGCAGTAAGAAAAAGGGGGAAGGAGATGCAGGAGAGGGGTGAGAGCCTCGGAGGGGCGTCCGGGGCCTGAAGCCTGGGAGGGGTGTCGCCATGCGGGGCCTGCTTCCGTGATCAAAGTCATGTCTGAGGGGGATTTCCTGAAGTGACATTGTGAAAGTGACACTGTAGGGAGGCACAAAAAAGTCCTCTCCTGTTTCCCATGTGAAAATCGTCACTTCAAAAAGTCAGCTTCTCTCGTTACAGACCAGATCAGGGAGACGTGGTAACTAAAAGCCGAGTGGTGCCCTGGGATGAAGGAGGATCTTACTGAGAAAAAAGCATGATGGAATCCAATTAAAGTCCGGAATGTGGTTAACAGTGCTTCCCAATGTCGGTACCTTACTTGTGTTAAATGTACCACAAGATGGAAGAGACTAACAATGGGGGAAACTGGGTAAGATGGACATGGTATCTCTGTACCATCTTTGCAACTTTTCTATACATTTTAAATTATGCCCAAATTAAGGTTATTTTTTAAAAAGCCAGTTTCTCATGGTGCAGGGTCGCTTTTACTGCGTGGAGGACACCACGTCTGGGATTGTAAATAAGCACTCATCTGCCTCTAGGTGTCATTGGCATCACTGGTTCAGCGCAGGGGCGTGGGAAGAGCCGAGTGCTGGCACAGCTCCTCCGGGATCCCACGACCTCAGTGTGCACGGATGAGACGGCACCCGTGACGCACTGAGCAGTGAGTTGGGCACATAACTAGTGCCCAGTGGAGGTTAGCAATCGCTGCTCCGCCCACGCCTGGTGCCTGCAGACGTCATCGTGTGCCTGCCCTCTCTCTGGGCCTCCCGTGTCCCTGGGCCACGCCTCCCTGTGTCCGGGAGGTGAGGTGAGTTGTTTAGCTGCTGAGTGGAGCTTTTCCAAAGAGCTGGGAACCCCAACCCCGAGGCCCCGGCGTCTTGGGTCCAGGTTGGTTCTGCCTCGCCTCCTGCCACGTGTGTGGGCAGCCGCAGGGACTGTGTATTAGGTTCTGACCAGACTAATTTTATTTAATCCTTACTTTATCTCGGAGGATCGGGATCACTGTCCCCATTTTACAGAGGGTGAAACTGAGGCCACAGAGGCCGGTATTTGTTTTCTCTGAGAGCAGCCTCTGGAGACAGATAAGAGCAACAAACAGCACCAGTAACTCAGGCCGGGTGAGCCAATAAGCAGAAAAAACTGGGAGCGCTGGGACAGTTGGGAAGGAAAAGTGGTCTCTGTGCCCCACAGTCAGTGGACTTTGGGGCCAGGAGCATCTCCAGGGAGAAGGGAGTTGGAGACAGCATCCCAGAGGAGCAAATGGCTGGAGGCCTGGCTCTGAGGTGGAATACTTAGAAATCCAGCAGTTTGCAGGCCGCCTGCCTGACGGAATGGAGCCCAGGGCCCGTGCAGAGAGTGGGATGGGACCATGAGCAGAGGGATAGGGGGGCACCCCACAGGGCTCTTTTCATCCCCCTCCAAGGACCCCACTTTCCCTTCAGGATCTGCCCCAAGCTAACGTTAGCACTTCTTCATTTGTAGCTAAGGACCACTCACTCCAAGGCCTCTGTGTTATTGTTGGAAAAAGGTCCCTGCTAGGGCCTTTATGGGTCGGTACTGGGAGGATTCAACACCGGGCAGAGATGGGACAAATGACTTAGCATCTATTTTGTGCCAAGCCCTAAAGTAGGCCGTGAGGATGAGGCCGACCCAATCCCCCTTCCCCAGGAGCACTTGGGCTGAAGACTGTGCAGGCCATCATGCACAAGGTAGCTACTCAATGAGAAATGGGCCTTAGGACAGCAGGTGGCCAGAGGAGGCCCTCAGCCTCTGGGAGGACCCCCTAGCTAGATTTCGATAACCTGGCGGCCGGGCAGCTGACACAGACAGCCATCCCAGTGGGAGAGGTAGCCCTGAGCTCTACCTCTGGCTGCCTTTCCAGGAGAAGACTCAGGTCCAGGAAGCAGCAGGGCCCTGCCAGGGGCCCAGCAGGATGAACCAGGCCTCCCAACCTGGGCAGCCGTCTTCCTGCTGGAGGGCTGTATCTGGGCAGGGCCGCATGGTGGCCCCATGATGACCCTGAGCAGGGGCTTGGCTCCCAGCAGCTGTAAGGGCCTCTCAGTACTCCAGGTGACCTACCTCTATAGCCCACAAAATGGGCGTGATGCTGTGAGCTCACCATTTGCCAGCTGTCTGGAATCGGACCAACCCAGCAGGCCTATTCTCACATCACATGCTAGGGCTCGTGACACCAAACTGCAGGACTCTCTCAAGTGCTCTGGCTCCTTCTCCAAGGACATGCAAAGTGCTACTCTGGGCTGCAGCCCTAGCTGAAACCTGAATTTCTGGGGAGCTTCAGGAGAAGGGACGTCTTGGTGACAGTGGGATAGCAGGCAGCGTGTTTGTGGTCCCCAGTACGTGGGGGTCTGTTTCAAGTGAGTGTCCTCTTTATTCTTGTGAAATGAATAGGGAGGGGTCAAGATAGTTCCCTGTTGGCAGAAACCCCCTGATTTCAGGGAAGTTGAGAGACCTGTATGCGCACAAGATACTGAGCACCGAGAAGAGAACACGGGGCAGAGTCTCAGTAGCTCTCAGGGTCTTAGATGGCATGTGGCAGGAAAGACACTGAGTCTGGGTGCAGGTGGATTCTACCACAATGAAAACAGGACCTGAGATTATTGCTACGGGTGGACGGATGAATGGGGTGCCTGTGGATGGAGGGCCTGCGGGGCCTCGCCCTGACCCTGTGGGGGTCCCGTGGCATCCAATCCATTACACTGAAGAGAAACCGAGGTCCAGAGGGAAGAGTGCATGTCAGGACTGGCTCCAGCCTTCACAGGGTCCCTCCCATGTTCAGGGATGTCAAACTCAACAGGCAGTGCTCTCTCTGGGCCCGCGGAAAGGGGAGGGCCTCTAGGGAGACCACCTGGTGCCCTCGCCTTATTTCTTAGGTAATGAAATGAGTTATCAGAGAGGGACAGGGACTTGACTGAGCTCAGCAGCCAGTGAGCAACAAAACCTACCCTCAGACCAGATGTCCTGACCCCCAGCCCCGGACTTCTCACCGCACTGTTGCCTCCCAAGGAGAGGAAAGTGCAAGGAGAAAGGAGCTCAAGTTTACTGAGCAGCTGTTATGTGCCAAGTCCTTGACACTCATTCTTCACAATCTCCACAACCTTGGAGGAAGAGGTTCATGTGCGTGTTTAACAAGTCAGAGATTCGAAGAGGCAAAGCAACTTGCCCAGGACTACACAGCTTGCAGGTGGCCATGCAGAAACCGGAGCCCAGGTCTGTCCACTTCCAAAGCCTGTGGAAGTTCTCGTTCTTATCCGAGTTGGGTTTGGGACCCGGAGCTGACAATGCAAGGATGTGGGGGGAGGGAGACGCCAGGGGCAAACTCCAGGCACTGTCCAGGCTCCAAGCCACCCAGTTGTACCGGTGACAAAGATCAACAGAAATGACCTTGGACAGCAGGACCTGGCCTCCTGCTGGCAGGATTTTTTTTGAAGGCCTATTGATCCACACCCTGCAGCAAAGCCACACAAAACAAATGGCTGATGTCATGGCTCCAGTGTTGCTGAGATACCCACCACCAAATGGCTTCGGGCCAAGGCGCTGGCCTCCGAAGCTCAGACACTTAGATTGATTTAGAGACTTCGACTCCCCACAGCTCTGACATGGAGGGGCCTCCCCAGCTGCTGGTGCACCCCACCAAGACGGGGACCCTCTCCAGACTTCCCAGCCGGCACGTCAAACCCCGCTCTCACCCCCACCGCCTGTCTCTAGAAGCAGCCCCTCCTGCTGGAACTGCCTCTCTCACTCTGAGCTGAGACCAGCCTCCTGGGACATCCCCATTGTCTCCTTTGGCACTCAAAGTCCGCTGTCCTTTGGCCCTGGTGGCCATATTAAACTTTGAGGCATCTTCTCTGCTTTGGGTCTGAAACTACTTAGGGAGGAATATCAGGGCTGAAGCCATTTCTGAGGAATGGGCACAGAGCTACAGAGAAGAGCTGGTTGGCCACCTCCCACATTCTAGGCATTAGGCCTCTGCTAATACAGCCAGACATCAAGTCTACCTTTGTGCTGGCCACAGCCCGGTGTGTTCCTATCATCTCAGACCTAAGTCTTTTAAAATTTGATCTGAATATGGGTTTTGCTTAAAAAAAAAAAAAGAAACCCATTTTGTACTATTAGCAATTCATAGTCATTACAATGTTTTACAGGATACATGCAGCCTCCTCACATGCATTATCTCCTTTCATGCTTAGGACAGTTTACTGGACCCCACACACATGGCTGGGGTCATATGTCTCTTGGGAGCCCGGCCACGGCAGGGGTCGCAGCAATGGTCGCGGAGGTGAGCACTAGGCAAGCGGCACCCCCTGTGGCAAGGAGTGATGGGTACAAGACCATAGACACCCAGAGAAGGGAGAACAGAGTGCAACCCACAAGGGTGCGAAGGGTGTCCTGAGGGCTGCTCAGACCCTGAGACAGGACTCCAGGGGTGAGTGTGACCCAGAACCTGCAGGAGGAGGGAGAATGGGTGGGGCCTGTCCGGTTGGGGCGGAGTCATTCCCAAGGTAGAGGATGGGTGGGATGTTTTGAAAGTCGCCCCACCAGCACCTGGGTCTCCTCAAATGAGCATTGCCAACCCTCCTGACTTTTCATTGGCAGAGGAGGACATAAAGGCTCAGCTAGGAGGAGAGCCGAGGTCTCCCCAGTGCTCCCAAGCCAGGGATCTTCATCATATATAAACCAGGCTGTCCCACAGTCTCTCCTGAACTCCCCCAGTGGGCCTGAGGAGGGGAAGGCCTGCCCCTGTCCCCTGGGGCCCTTGCCTGGTTGGGGAGATGGGATTTCTCATTTTCTGTGAAGTCATTTAGGCAAGTGGATTCCAGGAAGGCTGGTGGTGGAAATTCAGGCCCTGGCAACAAGCCTGTGGGTGTCATTCTGGAGCTGGACAAGGATCCCATCTCACACTTCTGTCTCTGGGTTGTTTGGGAGCTGGGTCTGGCTGCAGCTCAGAAAGCAGGGCCCACCCCAGCCCAGGAACTGGGCCTGTGGGTGGGTCCAAACTAAACCTCCACACAACGGTCCACTGTGGTTGCCTGGCCTGGCCCTGGGCTCCGCCAGCTCTTCCGGTTCCCGGAAAATGCTTCCCGTCTGGTAGTTGCAGGAGAGGCCTGTCTTGGCCAAGGCGAGGGCCCCACACCCAGGCCTCTCTTGCCTAGTGGGGATCCTGGACTCCTACAGCTCAGAGCTCTTGGGTCCAAGCCCCATTTCACAGCCAGGGTCTCTGGGGCTCAGAGGCGTGGACGCAAGCCAGCGTTGCACACCAGGACTAGGGCCAGGACCAGAACCCATCATTCTGGCCATTTTTTCAGCTCTCAATAGCCAAAGGGGACAGCAGGTTTGCGCTCTGAGAGAGAAAGGGGCGGTCCTGTCGAGTGGCCAATTGCGACCCAGTCTGGGCGAGTGACTGCCGTTAGGGGGTTGCTCACCATCCTGGATCTCTCAGGAGGTCGGCACCCCCCCTACTCCCCCCGGTTCCGCAGTGTGGCCTTGTGAGGACCCTTGTTCTCTGTATCTGAAGGCCACGGGGGGCGGGGGGGGGGGCGGGGAAATCCGCGCTGTCAATCTGGCCCTGACATCCTGCGCTTTGAAGCCTGGACACACCGGTTGGGATGAAGAAGAGCGGCTCTGGCATCTGGGGTCTGACTGTCCTCTCTTACTTGTGTGCCGGGCTGCACGGGGGAGGGGCGGGGGAGGGGGGGGCTGTCCCCAGCCCTTGCCTGGGCTGACAGCGCCACCTGGGGACAGGACGCTTTCAGGGATTGCATGGCCAGTCTTCACTCACAGAAGGACCTGTGCGCCACCCAGTGGTAGGTGCTGGGATAAAGAAAGGATTCTGGCCTCCGACGCCAGAGGGCTGCAACAGAGGAAAGTCCAGGGCAGAGGAGGGCCTCTGAGGATTCCAGGGCCCCAAGGAAAGGAATTACCAACACCACCACAACTCTCGTGGACTAGGTTTTGGGCCAAGCAGGGGACCCTCAAGGAATCAATTACGATTTAATGGAGAGGGGTGAAGTGGAAGTGGGAGCCAGGGCCAGGGAGCTGAGTCTTGGAGAATGAAAGTACTTTGCCTTGTGAACAAAGGGCATTCCATGCCCAGGGAACATACCTGTGCAAAGGCACCAAGGAGTGAGTATATATGTGTAAGTTTGAGCGTGACGGGAGTGAGAGGGAAGAGGAAGTGACAGAACATAAGGTCAGAAAGGTCACAGTCCCAAGTGTGTGTGGCTGAAACAGCCCCTGCCCCCCAGCCTCAAACAGGCTGCCCATTGGTGGTCTTAATTTCTGGAGCCTCCCTCTTTCCCCAAAGCCAGGGGTAGGTCAGACTGCCCACCAGCTGATCTCTGGGGACACAATTCTAGGACCTCTCTGGCTACCGGGGAGCCCAGGCACAGTCCTTGGATCAGGAGAAGCATCTGGGCTCTGGTCCATCACCAAACTGTGGTCTCTGGTTCCTCAGTTGTAAAATGGGCATAATGATAGCGTGGACTTCAGGGGATGTGGTGAGGATTCAATGAGAGAATGCACGCAAAGACACTTACTAGCAACTTGCTGGCACGGGTTGATGTCAGTTAAAGGGGCTTCTCCTTCCTTTGGATTTAATTTGCTCTTGTTTCTCTGGTTTCCTAAGGTGAAACTTAGATTATTGATTTCAGATCTGTCTTCCTTGCTAATATAGGCATTTAATGCTATACATTTCCCTCCACGCACTGCTTTTGTGACATCTCACAAACTTTGGTAAGTTGTGTTTTCACTTTTATTTAGTTCAGAATGTTTGTAAATTTCTCTTGGGGTTTCTCCTTTGACCCATGTGTTATTTCAAAGTGTGCTATTTAGGCCCTGGTCAGGTAGCTCAGTTGGTTACAGCATCAGCCCGGTACAACAAGGTTGTGGGTTTAATCCCTGGTCAGGCACATACAAGAAACAACCAATGAGTGCATGAATCGGTGGAACAACAAATCGGTCTCTCTCTCTCTCTCTTTCCTTTCCCCTCCCCATCTAAAATCAATCAATTTTTTTAAATGTGTGCTATTTAATCTCGATGTATTATGGGAGTTTTCCAATAATCTTTCTGTTATTGATTTCTAGTTTAGTTCCATTGTGGTCTGAGAGCAGACATGGTACGATTTCTATTCTTCCTTTCTTTAAGATTCTATTCATTTAGTTTTAGAGAGGGAAGGGCAGGAGAAAGAGAGGGAAAGAAACATGAATGTGTGGTTGCCTCTCGAGCTCCCCCTACTGGGAACTGGCCTGCAACCCAGGCATGTGCCCTGACTGGGAATCAAACCAGGAACCTTTTGGTTTGCAGGCCGGCACTCAATCCACTGAGCCACACCAGCCAGGGCTGATTTCTATTCCTTTAAAATTGTTAAGGTGTGTTTTATAGCCCACAGCATGGTCTACCTTGGTGAATGTTGCATGTGAGCTTGCAGAGAATGTGTCTTCTGACATTGCTGGATGAAGTAGTCAGTAGATGTCAATTCTGTCCAGTTGATTGTTGGTGCTGTCGAGGTCCATTGCATCCTACGATTTTCTGCCCCCTGGATCTGTCCATTTCTGGTAGGCAAGTATTGGAGACTCCAAGTACAATAGTGAATTCATCTATAACTCTCTGTACTTCTGCTAGTTTTTGCCTTTTGAGCATCTTTCCCTCTGTTTATTTACCATCCACATACCTTCTTGCCTCTTTTTAAAAAAAATAGGTGGCTTGTTTTCTTATTATTGAGTTTTGAGAGCTTTTA